TGAGGTGATCCCAGACCTGATTCTTGTGTGTGTCTGACGGTACAGGGTTCAACACAGTCTGTCGCCCCAATCAGCTTATGTACATGCTGGTGGTTGCAATTGCTGTGTCAGTTCTGCCTCCAGCCCTGTCTCTTACACAAACCAATGAATTTTGCAGCCCAGCCTGATCCTGCCCACCACACACTCAGCCTTCACGTACGTCAGTGAGAGCAGCTTCCTAGTCAGAGCAACCTGCAATAACCACCCCCATCAGGCCCGCCCCCTGTCCTGGTTCCCGTGCTTGCCAGTATGTACAGCAGACTGATCCAGTCTGTCCCACATCCCATTCAGCTCTTCTACATTTCAAAGGGCTTTGAAGCCTAGTTCAACCCAACCAGCTCCACTATCCAGCCCACATGCCAGCGGGTGTCACTTTCTGTCATTCCTGCCCCTGGCATGTCCTGGTTCTCATGCTCACCAGTCGGAGTGGCAACTCAAGAGGGAGGTGCCCAGTGTTTCCCTACTGGACCAACTCCCATTCCCGTATCTTGCACTCTCAAGGCGGTTCTGCAGTTTAGCTTGACACAACTTTTCCCCCATGCCAGCATCTGCCAGCTGATGCTGTGGCAAAGCCCAACCAACCCACACCCACTCTGACTTATGCATACACCAGAGGGAACATTCAACCCAGCCTGACATTTCCCTGATCTAGCTCACATGAGGCCAACAGGTGTTGTAGCCCTGGCTGGCCTGGTCTGCTTCCATCCCAACTCATGTTCTCCAGTGGGAGTCATGGTCCAGCGGGGGAGCCCCACACAGCATGCCCTACCACTTTGCCTCTTTGCTGCTTTGTCTCACGTGTACTAGTTGGGTGCTGTGGCCCAGTCTGGCATGGCCTGCCTCACCTTGGCATTTGCCAGTGGGTGCTGTGGCCTGGCTGGGCCCAGCCTACCCCAAATTCCAGCTCACACTAGTAGGGCCTACAGCCTAGTCCAGCCCAGCCGACCCCCAGTTCTGGCCCTTATGTGACCTGGCATGTGTTGTGACCCAATCCAACCCGACCCACACTCCATTCTGGTGCTCAGATTCACCAATGGCTGATATGAACTGATCTAGCCTGGCTTGCTCCCGGCCTGCGCCAAATGTGTGCTGGTGGGTACTATCCCTGGCCTGGTCTGAGCTGCTCCCTATTGTAGTTCCTGAGCTCACCTACAGGGACTGCGTCCCAACAGAGGAGTGCCCATGCTCCTCCATCAGAACCTCTCCCAATGCCAGATTTCGCGCCCACTGGTGGGTCCATGATTCAGTCCTGCATAATCCAATTCCTGTCCTAGCAGGAACAGTGGCCTTTCCACACTGGCCTTCACCTGTTTCGGGTTTTAACTGTTATAGCTTAGTCAAGCCTGGTTGTGGTGTTACTTCTATGATCAGGCTTGTACTCCATCTGTGCAAATTGGTCATTGATTACCCATATGTTCCTATTTCAGATATCAATCCAATTGCCCACTGTCATTCAACCACTCCCATCACCACTCTAGGTGTTACAAAGCTCTTGCTAAGGTCCCAGGACTTGTGTTCCAGGCTGCCAGTGTTAGCTTGTGGCTGAGCATAGCAAAGCAGTTTCTCATGAAGTCCCCCATTGTGAAGACATTGTGAGCGGGACACTGGGCACAGCAGCCAGAGGTCTCTTGGCTATCGCACAGTTCCTGCAACTGCAGCCAGAGGCTGGCAGGATCCAATGCCAGCAGAACTGGGAGGGGAGGCTGTGGTGAGGTCGTTGCACAACCCTGATCCTGAAGTGTGCTCTGTGTGACCCCTGCTTCCTCTTCTGCTTCCTTCCCTGCTTTCCAGCCAGAGAAGTCAATGCTGCATCCCCCAGCTGTGTCCGTGAAGGTCCTGTGCGGGTGGAGGGGCTGAGGAGACTTTGGGGCACCCACTAGGAGATTCCTGAAGCCCCCTTGGAGCCATTGAGCTTGCCTGCTGCCTGATAAGCTTTCTGGATCAAGAGCATCCTGCCCCTATTCTACCAGGCCAAACCTGTGGAAGGAAAACTGGGGCAAGTGACTGCCATGGGCAGGGATCCTGGCCCATTGAGGCAGGGGATTTCATCTGTGTTGTGGGTAATGGTTTCATTGTGTTTTTCTGCTGTGTATGCAGCCTTGCTTATCGATAATGGAAAAAAAAATGTGTGAAACCCCTTGGGCGAGGATGATGATCTTTTTTTTAAAAAATAATTGTAATTGTGGCAGAAAGCAACAGGATAGTGTCTACCAGCTTCACCATTCAGAACACACCTCACCCGTGTTAACCATGTTCATGTTGTTGTGCAGCATATCTTTAGGTAGAACTTTTATTTTAATTGGGCAGAGAGGGTGAGGTGGAGTATTCCCTCTGCTGCATCCTGCCCCCAGATGCCTGCCACGGACTCAGTCAAGGTCTCTCCCACGAGTGGTGGAAACTCACTGTTTGCCTCCCTAAGGGCTCCGTTTGCAGGGAGCCAGAGTCAGGAGCTGGAGGTGGGAACTGAACCCAGGCACTCTGATGTGGAATGCTGGTGTCCTGACAGACACCTTACTCGTTAGGCTAAATGCTTTTTCCCTAGAATGCTTTCATCTTGCAAAATGGAAAGCCTGTACCTATTGTGTAACAACTCCTGGTGATCATTTTGTTGTTTCTGGTATAGGAGGAAGCTGAAGCCCAAACAAGGAAAGTGGCTTATTTTCCTCACCATGGGCTCTTCCAAACATTTAACTTTGCTGTCTACTTGTTTGTTTGTTTTGAAGATTTATTTTATTTTCATTACAAAGTCAGATATACAGGGAGGAGGAGAGACAGAGAGGAAGGTCTTCCATCTGATGATTCATTTCCCAAGTGAGCGCAACAGCCGATGCTATGCCGATCTGAAGCCAGGATCCAGGAACTTCTTCCGGGTCTCCCACACGGGTGCAGGGTCCCAAGGCTTTGGGCCGTCCTCAAGTGCTTTCCTAGGCCACAAGCAGGGAGCTGGATGGGAAGTGGAGCTGCCAGGATTAGAACTGGCCCCCATATGGGATCCCGACACTTTCAAGGCGAGGACTTTAGCCACTAGGCCACGGCACCAGGCCCTTTGCTGTCTACTTGTAAGATCATGAGTCCCCTGTCTCCTTTGTTCCTCACCTTAGCCACTCCCTCCCCAAAACATCTGTCACAGCTCCTCCTGCTCCAGTTGGTCCTCACCTCAGCCCTGCTCAGCATCTTGCACATTAATAGCTTCAAGATGTATGCAACTCTGCTCTCTGCCTCAATTTGTGTCCCTCCAGCCACACTGTTCTTTCTAAGAACGGAACTGATCATTTTATTCACTCAGTTCTTTTTTTTTTAAAGATTTATTATGCATTTTTATTTTAAGGGCACAGTTTAAAAGGTAGAGGGAGAGAATAAGAGACCAAGAGAGTGATCTTCCATCAGCAAATGGCTGCAATGGCCAGAACTGGGCCAGTCCAAAACCGGGAGCCAGGAATTTCTTCTGGGTCTTATGTGGGGGCTAGGGCCCCAAAACCTGGGCCATCCTCCACTGCTTTCCCAGGCCATAAGCATGGAGGGAGTTGGATCAGAAGTGGAGCAGCTAGGTCAATGAATCCATGCCTAAATGGAATTGCTGGCACTGCAGGTGGCAGCTTTACCTGCCACACCACAGCACCAGCCCTCTTCCCACTCATCTTCCACACCAACGTCTTTGTGCTGCTTTCCATTCTTTTAAATGTTTTGTGTGCTTTCTTGCCTTTGCTCCACTTTACCTTCTTACTCACCAACTCAGATGCCTCCATCACTGTAAATGCGCCGAACCCTAGACAGGATTCCTCTCCCTTTGAAGCTTTTGTTACCTAACCGCATTAGTGCTTGTGATGAGCCAGAGTCCAGGGCCTTGGCCTGAGCCTCCCTGGTCCCAGTGTGGAACTGGATACATGGCAAGTGGAGACTGACTCACTGAGTGCTTCGTTTCAGTGTGCTACTACCACTTATTATTGGTTCATGCAAGGGAACAAGAATCATACTTTTAAAAATTGAAGCAAATTATTAATAAATTAATTTCTTTGAAAAGCAAAATTGTCACAGAGAGAGGCAGGGGAGGGGAAACAAAAGACGAACTGGTTGACTTCCCAAATGGCTGCACCGGCCAGGGCTGGGTCAGGCTGAAGCCAGAAGCCAGCAACTCCATCCAGGTCTCCCACATGAGTGACAGGGGCTCAGTCACTCAGGCCTTCTTCTGCTGCCTTCTCGGCACAATAGCAGGAAGCTGGGCTGGAAGCAGAGCAGCCAGAACTCAAACAAGCATTCTGATATACAATGCCTGCATTGCTGGTGGTAGGTTTACCCCTTACATCACAATGCACATCCAAGGTACACATTGTTTATCTTACAGGTAGCATTGAAGAAGAGAAACTGTGCCTTGTGCCTCTTCACTCAATGAGCCCTTGCTCTTTCTCCTCTCTTCCCTCCAAACAAGACAGCCCAAAGCCCCAGAGGCTCCAGAGCCCCACTGGCTCCAGACGGACCAGTCCTAGGTGACTGATGTGCTACTTCCTCTACACCCCCACCCCACCTCCAAGTTTCTGCATACAAAGAGCCCTGCCAAGAACTGGCATGGAAATGGAAGGGGCTCTAAGCTGGTCTTTGAAGAAGGGACCTTATCTTTGTTTTGTCTGTAATATCCTCTGTGGTCATGGATAGGCCACTGATAGGTGCTGGGTCTCAGTTTCCATGGGAAAAAATGGAAAGATTTCAATGCAACCTTCCTAAGACCTTTCTAGCCTGAAGAGAAGAGATCACCATAGGCTTCAGTGGACAGGGAAGCCTTTATTCCACCTTTATTGGCACCTGCTGGGTGCTTTTCTGCAGCAACAGAGTGATGCATACAGAGTAAGCAAGTGATGAGAACAGACTTTGGGGCTGGAGTTTTGGCTAGGAGCTGAGTGCTGGGACAGATTTCTCAAGCTACCAGTAACAGAAGCCATGTCCCCTTCTCTCTCCTCTCACTCTAGAGCATCCTTGGATTCTTCCCTTCCACACACACCTCAACTTGTGTTGCCATGGAGACCACCAACAGGACCGAGCTCTGGTACGAGAGCCTACACTCTGTGCTGAGGGCTCTGAATGCCACACTCCACAGCCACGTGCTCTGCCGGCCGGACCCAGGGCCGGACAACCACACTGAGCTGCGGCGGGCCAGGCTGCCTGGCCGCGATGACAACTCCTACATGTACATTCTTTTTGTCATGTTCCTGTTTGCCGTCACCGTGGGCAGCCTCATCCTAGGATACACCCGCTCCCACAAAGTGGACAAGCGCAGCGACCCCTACCATGTGTATATCAAGAACCGAGTGTCTGTCATCTGATAGGAGGGAGCCGAGGCTAGAGGGAGAGCAAGACACCCACTAATGCATCTTCTAGGGCATCCTGGACTCAGCAATGGACCACGTCGGGTTTCAATGCCCCTCTCTGTGAGATCAGCACAGGATGTTGTCATGGGGGTGGGAGGAACTGGCAGGTATGGGCCTGGGAGGGAAGATTTCTCCCACCCTCAACTCAGGCAAAGATGGACTTTATAAACAGTGGGAGCCCATGGTCAGACGGAAGGACTGAAAGATCATGACCAACAACTGGTCCAATGGCTAGAGTCATGGAGGAGGGAGGTTGGAGGTTGTGGTAGAGGAAGCAGGAAGATACACTGGGGACACACTCTATGTGTTTGAGTGTTTTATGTGTATGATCTGCAACCACTATGAGGAGCAAGGGTGATTATTCCTTATCACAGACCAGAAAGCAGAACCAGGTTATTGATATCATGTCCCTATGTGATTCCTTCCAATCCCCTTAAAGAAAGTGGGACAACAGGGACAGGCGTGGTGGCATAACAAGCTAATCCTCCACTTGCAACGCTGGCATCCTATTTGGCTGTCAGCTCAGGTCCTAGCTGCCCCATTTCTGATCCAGCTCCTTGTTTATGGCCTGGGAAAGCAGCAGAGGATGGCTCAAGTCCTTGGGACCCTGTACCAGTGTGAGATACTTGGAAGAAGCTCCTAGCTTCAGACTGGCCAAGTTCCAGCCATTGCATCCATCTGGGGAGTGAATCAGCAGGTGGAAGATCTCTCTCTCTCTCTCACTCTCCCCTGTTTCCTTTCTTTTCTCTTTCTGTAGCTCTTCCTTTCAAATAAAAATAAATAAATCTTCAAAAAAGCAGGATGATAAAACCAGGCAAAAGCAAAGTGATACCTCCAGTGTAACCCAATGTCTCTGGTCTTCTTAATCTGATGATTTTTAAAAATTTAATTTAATTTTATTTTAAATTATTTAATGATATGGTTTCATAGGCTTTAGGATTTCCCATCTGCCTTATTGACTTCCCCTCTGGTTTTACAATGACTGGTCCTTCATGCACAGTCATAAGTCCTGACATTGTAGGCATGGACCATGTCAGAGAGTACAGCATCCTACTATCAGGATATTTTCAACTATTTCTTTGGGAGCCCATCTTTGGTCCAGATGCAGAGAGACGTACTGCACTATGTCTCCACATCTTTACTCGGTGAATCTTAAAACTGTGCCACTTGGGAATGGGTCCAGGCTTGAAGGGTAAACAGGCCTGCAGACCTTCATTATGAAAAAGAATTCTAAATTGCTTTGCCTTTGCAAATTACAAGAATATCATCACCAAGTTTATATGTCACCAGTACTCCTCCTAGAACTGTATGAAGGATATTGCACAGGTGCTGAATTTTTTGTTTCTTTTAAAAATGTATATTTTACACACACACGAGTTCCCATCTGCTGGTTCACTCCCCAAATACCTGCATTGACCAGGGCTGGGGCAGGCCAAAATCAGGAGCCAGAAACCCAATCTGAGCCTCCCATGTGGCTGGCAGGAACCCAAGGATTTGAGCCACCACCACAGCTTCCTAGGGTCCGCACCGACAAGAAGCTGGAGTTGGGAGTTAACACTGGGAGTCAGACCTAGGTACTCTTGTTGTAGGTTGGTGCTGTTTTCACTTGGAGCTTCCTGGCTTGGCTGACTGCCTGCCCCTGGGGCCCTGAGTGGGTAACTCCCAGGTACATATCCTTGGAGCCACGTCACAGGGTCCTTCCCAACCACGCCACCTGCCACGGGGGCTTGACCATGTCTAAAGTGACTTCTGCTGCTTTGATTGAGTTCTGTGAGATAGTCTGGGATCCGAGTTGAAGCCTGCCTTCAGCAGGTGACAATCACACCTGTGAGAGTATCATCGTAAAGGCAGCCTGGCAGACAGGGACCTGGATCAGTGGGAAACAGAACTGATCTGACTCTCCCACGAGCATAGTGTGTGGCCTCAGACTGGATGCATCTCTCTGCAGCCCTGCTCCTCTTCAGTACCATGAAATAGCCAGACTGGAGAGCCGCTGAGGGCTGTCAGTTCTGTCGGTCGGCGTTCCACATGGGTGAGGCAGAATCCTAGGAGATCACTGCGTGGGTGGAGGCCGGAGATGGAGTAGCATCATGTGGTTCCTGCCAAAACATGCAGTGTAGCCAGTGACTTCTTCCTCAGCTGTTGGTCCCAGATCCACCTGCTGATCTGTCCGTTAGACTCCCATGGGTGGGAGCTCCATGTGGTTCTCTCAACCCCACTGAATCATGCATGATAGTGTACAGCAAAGCTCTGATGGGCGGTTGTGAAAGCGGTGGTCTCTGCAACAGGAAGATGAGTAGTTTTCCCTTTCTACTTCCTATACTTGGATGTTATTGGACCAAAGGCATGTTACTTGTGTCATAAAGGGATGGGGCTGAAGCTGTTTCTGCCTGCATAAAAACAAGTGCCCGTGAGTGGTTCTGTGGGCTCATTAAACATGTGCCAAGCTTCCCATGGGCTCAAGACCTTCCTCATCTCTTGCTGAAGGAGGAGGAGACCTCCTTCCGTTGCTGTGACCTATGGGAGACGATGGATGCAGAAGTCTGTGGCTAGGAAGGCTCCGGAGACCATCCAGCTCAAACTCAAATGGAATATGACCTGCTGTTGAGCATGAAGAAGGAAAGTGGGGCTGGACTGTGCAGGAGGCACCTGTGCAGGCGGAACTCCTACTCCCGGGGTATACTCGTCCTGACACACACTTACTTGCAAATTCCAGATGCCCAGTGGAGAAGAACTGAGCACACCAGGGGCCTTTATGACAGGATATGACTTGCTCACAAGTTCAGAAAAGGGAAATTCTTGGGGTCTCAGGATACAGCAACAAGGACATGTCACAACATTTATGGGAAAATGGGATAAAAAATGCATTTATTTTGAAGAAAAAATGTGAAGATATGTATACACACATACACCTCCCAGTGGTCTTTTAAAAAACTCATGGAAAATACAAATTATGAAAAAAATTAGGTTTTGATTTTATGGCACCAAATAAACTTATCTTTTAGGCCAAGATGCACAGAATTTTAAAGTACCCTCATGTTAACTTGTCTAATTTCCCAAATTGGGAGCTCAGAATATCTGATTACTGAGGGTGGAACTAAAAACAACAGTCAGATTGAAAGGGAGTATAATTTGAACAGCTGAATATTCCATGATGTGACCCCTGCTCTCAGGTCAATCCCCCCACTTCTGCCCCTACACCACTGTCTGGACTCCGTCCATCATCCCACAATCCCGCTGTCCCGACAGGCCACTCATACTCCAGGATCTTTGTACAATTCTGCCCTCTGCTGGCCTGGCTAGTTTATAGCACAGGACCTTGAGCCCTCAAAGCAAATCTTCAATAACCATTCATTCAACAGAGGAGTATTTAAGTATCCATTAGATGCTAGGAACACTTACAATACATGAATAAACAAAGGGTTCCCAGCAATACCTAAAAGCTTTACTTTGCTGCAGACACGGATCTGATTATTTCATACACTTTAATGCATCCAGCTTTTAAAATGTAACAGGCATTCCTGAGAAGGGATTCAAAAAGTTCCTCCATTTTGGTGATTTAGCCCCTTCATGTGCCCTGTTCATGTGGCACAGATAGGCAGTGCAGATCCCACAAGTCCTCAGTTATAGGTGGGAAAGTGACCTAGGAAAATTGGGGGCAGAGTGAGGACACCAGGGGCCCCCTCAGAACAGAATCCAAGGCAGATGTTGGTTCACGAGAAAGCACAGAATGGACTGGAACCACCATGTGTCTTACCCAGCATGGCTGGATCCACAAGGAACTGTTCCTGTGGTTGGGGCACAGACCACACCCTTCTGAGGTGAGCAGTGGCCTTTTATATCCCCGAATTGGTGAGTAGGTGGTGTGAGCTGCCCCTGGATGGGGTGGGGAGGAGGGACGACTCCCAGGAGGACTGGGGGGAGGTTTCCCATAGCTGGGGATAACTGTAGGGAGGAGGTGGCAGCCATGAGCTGTTGCTGGCAGGTGCAAAGGAAAGCTGGGCAAGGAGAGGCTCTGGGTGGGAACTAGCGACAGCCTGCCTGCTTGGGCAGGTTCTGCAGCTCAAATCCCATCACGGAATTGGCCTGTGGCTAGTTTTCCTTCCCCATATCAGAGTTGCTGACTGCTCAAGGGGAGGCAACTTGCCAGGTATGCAGGCCGAATCCCTGGGGCAATGGGGCACCACTGAGCCAAACAGCAAACAGAGTAGCCTACGCAGGGGAACAGGCAAGAAAGCCTTAGCAGCCGAATGGGTTACACCCAAACACACAGAGCGCCTCCTGGCTTCAGAGACAAGAATGACACCAAATAAAGGGCAAATAAAGGCGCTGGCACTGCTGTGCAGCATGTTAAGCCTCTGCCTGCAACATTAGCATCCCATATGGACACTGGTTCCTGCCTTGGCTGCACCACTTCCAGCTCCCTGCTTATGTGCCTGAGGAATGCAGCAGAGGGTGGCTCAAGTCCTTGGGCCCCTGTACCCACAAGCGACACCCCAAAGAAGCTACTCTAAAGCTGGGAGCCAAGAGCTTCTTTCAGCTCTCCCATATAGGTGCAATGGCCCAAGGACTTGAGCCATCCTAGGCTGCTTTCCCAGGTCATAAACAGGGAGTTGGATGGGAAATGGAACAGCCAGGACTTGAACTGACATCCATATGGGATGCTGGTGCCACAGACAAAAAAATTAGCCTGCTGTACCACTGCACCAGCCCTCATAGATGTATTCGTAAGCAACCAAACGTATTCTAAAGCTGCACCTATCTCTTCTGTCAGATCCGGGTACAAGGACTTGGTCCACATGGCCACACTGGCTGTTAGGGGGCAAGGACAATGAGGTGCCTGTCTGGATAGTCTTGTCCCGGTCAGACAACTATGACTCGGGAGAGACAGAAGGGGGTCTGATGAATGGGTGGCTGTCTTCACACCACTCTCTGCCCCAAGACCAGTCAAGATCAAAACCTCTCCAGCCCTGCTAAGAGGGAAGAGTGCCGCTGTGGGTGGATCTCATTCGCAGGGGGTGGGGGTGGGAGCCGGGGGTGGTGGGGGGTACTTAAGCCTGTCTTGGGTCTGTGCCTTATATTTATTTTTTTTTCTAGCATCCTTGAGTCTGATCTTGCCTCTTATTAGAACATCAATATGGGGGCCCAGTGTGATAGGCCCAGTGGTTAAATCCTTACCTTGCAATATGCCAGGATCCTATAGGGATGCCAGTGCATGTCCCAGCTGCTCCACTTCCCATCCAGCTCCCTGCTTGTGGCCTGGGAAAGCAGTCGAGGATGGCCCAAAGCCTTGGGACCCATATGAAGTTCCTGGCTCCTGGCTTCAGATTGGTTCAGCTCTGGCCATTGTGGCCAATTGGGGAGTGAACCAGCAGATGGAAGATCTATCTCTCCTT